AGTAGGCGACTCGCCCTCCCAAGTAGACCCTCCCAAGTAGGCAACGCTCCCTCCCAAGTAGGCAATGCTCCCTCCCAAGTAGGCAACTCTCCCTTCCAAGTAGGCAACGCTCCCTCCCAAGTAGGCAACTCTCCCTTCCAAGTAGGCAACACTCCCTCCAAGTAGGCAACTCTCCCTTCCAAGTAGGCAACACTCTCTCCCAAGTAGGCAACGCTCCCTCCCAAGTAGGCAACGCTCCCTCCCAAGTAGGCAACGCTCCCTCCCAAGTAGGCAACGCTCCCTCCCAAGTAGGCAACTCTCCCTCCCAAGTAGGCAACTCCCCCTCCCAAGTAGGCAACTCCCCCTCCCAAGTAGGCAACTCCCCCTCCCAAGTAGGCAACTCTCCCTCCCAAGTAGGCAACTCTCCATCCCAAGTCGGTGTCATGTCAAGATACCCATCCTGGACAACTTACCAGTGACTGGGTTAGCATTGGATAGTTTAGGCTGCATCTGAGTTGTCATGTTAGGTACATTTTGTTGAGTATAAAATAACAACAAACACTGCTGGTTACAAACATGTTTCATTTCACCACGCCATATGAAAGACTCTTCCAATTTCCGTCCACGTTGTTTACAGCCATCACACCTGCAATTAAAGAGATCCCCAACTGTAACAGTTGTACTGCCATTCAGGGTCCATAGCACCAAGAGCCAAATGATTTCCAAGACTTTTCCAGAACTTTTTCCAAACTGTCTTGCATTTTTCCCAAGACATTTTGACCCTTAATTCAGGCCAACATCATCACCAAAGCTCATCCAAGTTCAAAATAGCAGTTCATATGTGCACAAAAACAATAATTTATTTACAAGTTCAAGACACACTTTAAGACATACTTTCAGGGTTCAAACTGACCACTGGGTCTTTCTAAATTGAATTAATAACTATGAAGAAATTTGAGGATTTTTTAAAGATTTTTTTTATTTTTCCTGTAATTTAAAGACAACTCAAAGACTTTCCAAACCTCAAAAAATCCAAAAAATATTCCCAACACTATGAACCCTGCCATTTAGAGCGACTCAAATTGGATTACTACAAAACATCTCACATACAGTAGCAAATAACGGCATAAATATTGACAGACTGTGTGTGCTGCTTACCTCTTACATCACAAATGCTG